CGAGAACGATAGTTCTGAGTAAATTTGAGAAATAAAAAACTAAACTGTGAGGCGTAATGACAAAATAAGTTACTTTTCACAGTCTGAGAATAGAGATATTGGCAGAAAATCTAAGCTGTCAACAGACTTAAACTTAAAGCCATTTTAAAGTTCAACACCTTCCATGCCTATTAGAGAACACATTTCTGTATGGATTTTACTGAAAAAGGTTCATTAAAAGCATAAAACATGTGAATTTTGAGCTTCCACTGACTCTCAAGCTAAGGATATAACTCAACTTTGGTGGCCATTTTCTCGCTAATTTTACCTCTGAAACCAGGCGACCGCTACCCCCTTCAATTGCCAATATCTTGACTTGTATCAAAGATAAATAGATATTTTTTTCATTAAAAGTAAAGCAAATGGACAGGCTTTAAGATGATACCAATAGCACCGTATGCCCCAAAATTGACGAGCGTCTAATTCCACTGCACCATTACACATATACAGAAATAGCAGAGTGGAAAAAAAGAAGAAAGACAGACAGATAGATAGATAGAAACAAAAGAGGGAAAGGAAAAAAAAAGAAGTAGGACATTCCAGAGGCGCCCTCCAACCAGCCGCTAACAAGATCTACAACTTTCTTCTGCCTACGTCAATGGGAGCAAAACTTACCTCCAAGTTGGGCATCTTTCTGCCGAGCTGCACCATCCTACGAACCCCGATCACGTTCATCCGGACTGACAGTCTGCAAAGGAGAAAACACAACGGTGAATTTTATTATTTATCCTTTTTTTGTTAGTAAGAGTTTGTGTTGTTTTATGATTAATCAGTAGTACGCGTTTTAGAGCACTTGCAACTCAATTTAGGTCATAATATGGTCGCTTTTAAGCACGAGGGGGCTATCCCGAAAAAAGGAGTTATGAGCAAATCGAAAGTAAAGTTTTTGGACCCTTGTTCAGTTTTTAAAAAAGACAAGGAGAGTTTTCTCTATAACCAAACAAATATAAACACCAATGGAACCAAATTTCTCCTATAGATAGGGCAATGCCCACTTTTGGTGTAGGTCAAGATTTCTGGAAACCCTCAAAATCTGGGTTAGCCGCTTGTGCTTAAAAGCGACAATATAAGAGTCAATGATTAGAGTTGTTCTAAGAAAGTAACAAACATAAGTAAAGAGGGGAGATAAGGAGGACAGACATTTCATTGGAGAGAAGGAGCAACCCAGACCATTGCACCCGCCAACCACCCACAAAGAAAGAGGAAGAGAGAGAGAGAGTGAGAGAAAGTGAGAGAGAGAGAGAAAGAGAGAGAGAGAGAGAGAGAGAGAGAGAGAGCCCCACATACCTCAACTCCTCATCAAACTTGACGGTGGCGGCCGAGTGGAAGACGACTTGCGTCTCTGCGGCGACCCTGGCCTCATCCTCCTCGCTCAGGCCCAGGTTGGGCTCAAGGACATCTCCAACCACGGGCACAATGCGCTCAGACAGGTCCGGCACGCCCTCGCGCACTTTGTCGTACAG